CAGTTTTCCAAGATCATTTTGTCTATTAGGAGTTGATCTTTTGTTCCTCTGCTATTGGGGCGGTTTCCTTTCTGCTCAGGTGGAAAGAGATTGTTTTCAACTAGATGCTGTTGTACTGCATCAGCTACCTACACCAGTTAGTAATTTGAAAGTTGTTGGTAAGCAGGTAATTGGCCTGTAGTTACCTGGTGTTGCCCCTTTTGCTGGATTTTTCATTATTAGGTAGGTTTTCCCAGTTGTTAGCCACTTTTCAATTTCTCCTCCTTGTAGTATATTGTTGAACTGTTTGGCAATGAGTGGGTGTATAACAGTTAGATGTTTCAACCAAAACCCATGCAGTTCATCTTCACCTGGTGCTGACCAATTTTTGATTTTCTTTGCTCTTTTTTCTACCATTTTTGTTGTTATTGCTAGTTCTTTCATTTCAACTTCTGTTTTATTTGCATCCACCTCTTTTAACCAAGCCGCATCCTTATTGTATTTCTTTGGGTTATCCCATATCTGCTTCCAGAACTGTACTGTTTCTTCCTTGTCAGGTACTGACTGATTCCTTGCAGTTTCTCCATTGATGGATTGGTAGAAACGTTTCTGATTGGATTGAAATTGGAGGTTCTGCCTATAGTTTGCAATTCGAGCTTCATATCTACTGATTTTCCTGGCTATAGCTGTTATTTGTTGCTTTATTATTTCCAGTGCTTCCTTGATCTTCCTTGTTTCTAAGTGGTATTTCTTGATTAGGTATTCTTTGGTCTTCTTGTTCTTCAGCTTCTTTTCTTTCATCTGTTCTAGCTTGCTTGCATGTGATCTTAACTTGCTGATCTTATTTTCTAGTCTAACCTTCCATTTTTCTGGTGCACTGTTTGTTTGTTTTTCTTCTTTGTTGATTTTGCATCCCAGGTATTCTGTTATAACTGCAGCTGTGCTGTACATTAGTTGGTTTGTTTCTTGCAGTGAATTGGTGCTTATACTTGATATTGCAGTATTTGCATCTTTTAATGCTTGTGCTAGCTGTTTCTTTGGAACAAGCTTCAATGCAGGTAGCCTTATTCTGTTGTTTTTGTGCTGTTCTAGATGCTCAGTTATTCTTTGTTTCAATTCTTTTATTTCTTTAGTTAGAGGGTTTTGTTCTTCCTGAGGTAGAGGTGCCTGATTTCCAAATGAGAACAGTTGTATATCTCTGCTAGATTCCTTCACTGCCAACTCCCCCTGGTTTGCCTCTACATTCTGAATTACTTCTGGTAAGGCTTTGATTTCTTTGCCCTGGGTAAACCTTTGCAGTTCGTCCAATTCTGTTTCTGTGAATATTTTATTTCGTGTTATAAATCGGCGTTGATCTGCTAGTCTCTGTTCTGTTATTTCTGATTCTGGATGTTGTTCTTTCCAGAACTGGTGCATTCGTTTTAGATATCCTCTTCTTGTTGGACTTGATCTGTAGTAACAGATCATTATTTCTTTGTTTTCCATCACTGTGTATCTGCGACGGGTAAACACCTTTTCTTCCAGTAGTTCTGCAGCTGCTGGCCCTGGTTGCTCAGCCAACAGTCCTGAGTCCTGTAACCCATTTTTCACCAGATATCCAGGAACTCCAATATCTAGTGCGGACCTTGTTAACCCGGGCGACGTCCGAGCCGGTATGGCATTCTGAAATTTACGTCTCACCATATTTTTTATGGGAGAGACACTCTTTGTCTGACTCCTCTGATGAGACCTGTCCAGTATGGTTGAACCTCTGGCATAGCTCTCATCTTCCTCAGAGTACACAAGCCCCACAACCACGTCAAGGTAGTGCCTCACTGGGGGTACCAGAAGTCCCCAACATTATTATTATTATTATTATTATTATTATTATTATTATTGATCATTGCACAGTCAGCCAGATGTTCAGACTGGATTTGGCATTTTGTCTACCTATCGAGTCCTTACCAAGGACCTGGGATAGGCAGATGTGGATGTTTGATGGTATTACAGATATCGTCGCAGGATGGAAGCAGTTCCTAATAAGGCCGCTTTTTGCAATTGACTAATAGCGAATTTGTCAATGCCAATGGTATTCAAGTGGTGCTCCAGTTGTTTTGGGATTGCACCCAAGGAGCCTATACTATTGGTACTACCCTTGCTTGCTTTTGCCACAGTCTTTCTATTTCTATTTGTAGGTCTTTGTATTTTGTTATCTTCTCCAGTTCTTTCTCGTCTATTCTGCTGTCTCCAGGCACTGCCACGTCCACTATCCAGACTTTTTTGTCTTTCTTATCGACAATTGTTAAGTCTGGGGTGTTATGTTGCAGGTGCTTGTCTGTTTGAATTCTGAAGTCCCAGAGCAGTTTAATTTTATCATTTTCTATGACTTTCTCTATTTTATGATCCCACCAGTTTTTGCTTACAGGCAAATGATATTTTTTGCAGATCTTCCAATGCACCATTGTTGCTACTTTGTCATGCCGCTGCTTGTAGTCAGTCTGTGCAATCTTCTTGCAACAGCTTACCAGGTGGTCCACTGTTTCTTCAGCTTCTTTGCATAGGCGGCACTTACTGTCTGTTGCTGTCTTCTCAATTTTGACTTTATATGCATTTGTCCTAAGGCTTGGTCTTGTGCAGCCAGAATTAGTCCCTCGGTCTCTTTCTTCAATTTTCTTGCTCTTAGCCATTGCCAGGTCTTGTTATTATCTGCTTTCCCAGCTATTTTTTTAATGTATTGGCCATGTAGTGCTTTGTCTTCCCATGCCTCTATTCTGTTCTTCATTTGGTCTTTCTTGTAGGCCAGTTTGGTCTCTCCAGTAGTCAGTAAGCCTTCCTGATATACTAATTTCAGTGCATCTTCATCATTGTTCTTCAGATATTCTTCCAAAGCCATTTTTTCTTCTTCAACCATCTGATGTACTTGTAGCATTCCACGCCCACCTATTGCCTTGGTAGATAAAGTCTGTCAATGTCACTGCGTGGATGAAGGGCATGATTCATTGTCATTATTTTTCTGGTCTTCCTATCCATTTCTTTTAGTTCTGCTTGAGTCCAGTCCACTATTCCAGCTGTGTACCTAATGACTGGTATTGCCCAGGTGTTGATTGCCTTTATGATATTTCCTCCGTTGAGTTTGGACTTTAAGATCTTCTTCACTCTCTTGATGTATTCACCGCTAATCTTTTTCTTGACTTCATTGTGCTTGATGTCAGCTTGAAGGATACCCAAGTATTTGTAGTAATCTTCCTCATCCAGACTCTTAATATTATTTTCATGGGGCATCTTGATTCCTTCAGTTTTCACTATTTTTCCTTGTTTGATAGTAAGTGTGGCACATTTGTCCAAGCCAAACTCCATTACAATATCTTGGCTATATATACGGACAGTGTTGAGCAGCGATTCTATTTCAGATGATGTTTTTCCATACAGCTTCAGATCATCCATGTAAAGGAGGTGGGATAGTCTGGCAGATGTTTTTGATGTTTGATAGCCATGTCCTGAGTTATTCAGTATTGTTGACAGAGGAAACAGTGCAATAACAAATAGTAATGGTGATAATGAATCTCCTTGAAATATTCCTCTCTTGATATTAACCTCTCCCAGTCTCTCACCATTGATCTGCAACTGTGTCTTCCATTGTGCCATCGATCTTTGCACAAATTTTCTGATGTTTCTACTGACTCCTGTTATTTCTAGGCACTTGATTATCCAATCATGTGGCAGAGAGTCAAATGCCTTTTTGTAGTCAATCCATGCCACATTCAGATTGGTCTTCCTTTTCTTGCAGTTTTCCAAGATCATTTTGTCTATTAAGAGTTGAATTATTATTATTATTATTATTATTATTATTATTATTATTATTATTATAGCACAGAATATGTATACATTATGAATACATGTTCCACTTTATAACTATTCAAGACAAATCATATTTTGTTTTAATTTACCCAGTTTTTATTTAAAGTATGTTACAATAAATGTCTTGCCTTAAATAATTTGCTTGGCGGTATCATCTAAACAAAGTTTTGGCATTCCAGATTGTCAGTCAGCACTAACTATATAACTTTCTATGGATAACTTAAAAAGGTTTATGGAAACAACAGATTTCCTGGATTAACAATGCAGTAATGCTCTCAATTGTAAGCTAGTTATAAAAGCTGGGTATCCAAAATACATTAAGCTAAAAGGTTGCTGACATCGCTGAAAAATACACACTTAAATGTTTAGTTCAATTTCCTACAGTTAAATGAAATATTAGTTGTTGGTGAACTTATACACTACATGAAACTACAGTATAATATTTTTTAAATTTGGTTTATAATTAGGCAGCCATGCCATAAAAAACAATAAGTTCATCAAGTCTGAAAAATTCTGCTAAATATGATTTCAGTTATTCCCTAATCAGTAATCATTATGAAGGCTGGATTATGGCAAATTATAAACTATGATGTGAGAGGTTAGTTATGTGAATACAGCTGTGGTGATTTATAAACCACAGTTTAAAACTCAGGATTAATTGTAAACCTAACCATTATGATTGTTTAACAAACCATGATTAAAACGTGATCACCATTTGCAACCTGACCTGCTGGCTTATGATAAGCAAAGTCTATGGGGGAAGCCAGATTCACTTAACAATTCAGTGATTCACTTAACAATTTCAGTGATTCACTTAACAACTGTGGCAAAAAAAGGCTGCAAAATTGGGTTCAACTCACTTTACAACTACCTTGCTTGGCAGTGGAAATTGTTGTAAGTCAAGGACTAGCTGTACTTCCTTTTTTTCTAAAGAGTTCTAATAGCAGCTTGAGATAGAGGAGGTGGTACTCTCGGTTTGGGTTCATGGCTGCAAGAATAAAGCCTATTTGCATAAATCTGCATTCTTCAAGTTTATTTTCTTTTATTTATTTGTTAAATATATTTGCCGCCTTTCTTGTTGTGGGGCTGCTCTAAGCGACTTTAATATGTTTAGTATGTTACCTTAATTGTGTTAATTGATCTATGGATCAAAGAAATAGCCCCAAATTTGCTCTCTATTACAGGCATGTCCATTGCCCAACTGGAAAGAGGCATCTGCTTGCAATGGGATATCCAGCTGGAGGAGGTGAGGAAAAAAAGCGTATGGATAATTTAAAATTTTCTCAGAAATGTTCATGTATGGCAGCGGTAGACAATTTTCACAAGGGGCCGCATTAAAAACTGGGACTGTTGTGGGGGGCAGCTACCCCCCTGCCCCTTGATATCAGTGCCCCTTCCCACACCAACACCAATGCTGCAGGCCAGACAAGCACAGCCCACAGGCTGGATGTGCCCTGCAGGCCATAAAATGCCCAGGTCAGATCTACAGTAAGGTAATAGATTGTTGACTATAATGATATAGTTAATATCTTAAGATTAATTCTTTTAATTTGTTTTTTAATTTATTTTTAAGATGACTTGTTATTTATTTTATAATCAAGTTGAAAACAATTCTACTACAAATTCTTTCATGTGGTGATATACACAAATTAGCTATCATATTTGTGACTTCACACATTTGAAGCCTGGAACTAAACATAAAACAATCACTGAGGTGCCCATTTTTATGTATGCCTAGAATCAGCTTTCAGTCAAACGTCTTTATCTGTAGTTAACTTTGAATTTTCTAAAGATTGCTCTATAACTTGAATAGCTGGGGAACCTCTCTGGCTATGGTGCGTATTTAATAAAGTTTAAAAAAAAATCAAGAATGAGAAAAGTTATATGTTTAGGTAAGCTTAACCATAAGTAAATAAATGATAGATTATAAATAAATATTGTATTAATGTTGTAGAAATTCAACTTTCAATGATAACTAGAGATTTCCTTCATTTCTGGCATCTTTATTGCTGATTAAGATTACCTCTTCTTTTGTCTTGCTGCCTTGGAACTTTTTCCTGATAATAAAATAGGCAACAATAGATATTTAACAAATGTAGCAAGGCTGTGTAGACCGACTTTGTTTTGATTATCTTATGTTGCAAAAGCTATATACTAGGCCTCTTATTCTAAATGGCTTCAACTTTTGATGCTAGTCTTCAAATCTGCAGCTTACTTGATGAGATAATGTTGATCTGAAATCTGGATAATTTTTAAACCATTAATCAGTTCTAGTAGAAATTGGCTGTGTTTAGTTAGTCACTGCTACTCTTTGTAATTTGATAGGTGAGAATATGCTCGTGTTTAAGCAGGCGATACATTTATTTAAAAATAACATTTTCCCATCAAGTATCTGTCAAATACCATGCATTTTTCTATAAATTGCTTGGATATCTTAGAAGTTACCCAAGCAATTTAGAAAATGAAATACTTTTCATATAATGCAAACTGTGGCAATTGCACATGGAAATGAAAAGTAAAGATGCAGCAACATTTTTAATTATTATTTTAAACATACCCAGTTCTGATATAAAACTTCTTAATCAGCTAAGAATTCTTTAATACTTGACATAAATATGAGCTGACAAAACTTGTAAGAGATTACCACCCAGTGAAAATAATAAAAATATATCTATTAAATGAAAGTAATCTATTAAAGAGTAAAGCATACATGCTAGATAAATTATGAAAACAAATACAATTATGAAAGGAAAAAATGGAATCTTCTCCAGCATAAGTGATTAAGAAGACTATAACAGGTAGAGAAGGAAGGAAGGAATGTGTTCTTAAATTTGTTTTAGTAGCAATGTCTAGCAAAATGAGTATCTATAAAGGCAGGTGAGAAATTGTAATCTTCATGCAAGACATAGACAAGTATAGGAGGTCAAATTTTATGATTTCTGTAATTGTTTCTGCAACTCTCTGAGGTAGCAGTTCCTATGTTCCATTTATTCACTAGATTTCTCTTTAATCATTAATTCTTTCTAATATTAAAATACTATTTATATCTTTGACAAAAGGATTAGGTTAAGCGGTACCTTCAGTATGCCATCATCAGCTCCACATCTATATCTATATACTTAGCAATCTTTCAGTTCCTTTTTGTAGTTCTGAGACAGGAGTGGTAAATACATAATAAACTCCTTACGGGTAAGATTGAAATCAAATAATGGTCACAGATACAGAGATTTAGCATCAGCTTTAAAAAACTGGTACTCCATGTTTACACCCATGACAAACATTATTTCTGTACTCTTTTTGTCCAACTATAATACAGAAATATGAAATAATAGATACATGCTTTCGCTTAAATTTGAAGCATGTACTACCGCTAAAAATTTCCCTTGTCCTTAAGGGGTTTTTTGAGGGGGGGTGTCTGGAATGACATTGCATATTGCACCAAAATGAATATATATCACTATGTTCTTTATAGCCTAGTGAAGCAAAGCTGTGTTGAAGATGAAGCCAATGTAACGTTAGAATGGATCAACGGGGAATTGCACATCAAAGTCTGCTGTCCTGTGGATGTGGGCAGTGAACTGCTATGCTGGCTAACTAAATCAGCAGTCAGTCCTACTTGTCTGAAAAATAATATTCTAGCACATACTTCAGATGGGGAACTTGATACAGACAAGAAAACACTGCAAAAAATGCCAGTAATAACCACAGCCAAGACCACAGATTTAGAAGAGGACACTTTGATGCAAAAAGATGATATTATCCAGGATTCTTCTGCAGGTACTGTATGCGGTTTAGAAATTTAGAATTTGGAACGTAGTATCACACATAATTCTGGCAAATCAAATAGGAAATGAAATATACAGCCAGAGTTGGGCCCAAAATCCTCAGTTATTGAGCCAAGTGCTTATTAAGCGAGATGCCACGTGACTGCTCAACAACCACAATCCTGACTCTCCCAATGGCGGTTGTTTTTTTTTTTTTTTTTTATTAAAAAGTTTTATAAATTTTACAGAAAATAAAAGACAATACAGAAACAAAAAAACAACATATACAAATAAAAAACAAACATTACCCAACAAAACCCCCCTTCCCCCACCCCTACCCAAACCCCCCCTTCCCCCCCCCAGGGCCTCCCAGAGCAGAATATAGGCTTAATTAAAAAAAATTAAAAAAAATTTATATTTAAAAAAAAAGAATATAAAATGAAAAATATATGTATATATAATTAAAAATTATGAGAAAACTATATAATATTTTTTTATATCAAGTTTAAATTGTATGAATTTTATCCATTTATCCCAAACAGCAAGAAATTTCTCTTGCGTTTGTCCCTTTAAGAAAGCCGAAATCTTTGCCATTTCCGCCAAATGAGACACTTTAAGAAACCACTCCTGCAATGTAGGCAAAGATTCCTTCTTCCAATATTGTCCTACTAACAGCCTCGCAGCTGTAATCAAATTTAACATCAATATAACCTCCTTTGTATCACAATCAATAACTATACCTAACAAAAATAATTGTGGAGTAAATTTTACCCTCCTTTTAAAAATTCTCTGGATATTCCACCATATCTTAATCCAAAATGCTTTTATCTCTCTACATGACCACCAAATATGATAATAAGTAGCATCCATACAACCACATCTCCAACATTTAGGTTGTAAGTCGGGGTACATAAAAGACATTTTTTGTGGATCAAGGTGCCATCTATAAAACATTTTATAAAAATTCTCCCTTAAATTCTGTGCTTGTGTAAATTTGACATTTCTCACCCAAATAGTTTCCCAGGTATCCAATGAAACTGGCTCGCCAAAATTCTGCGCCCATCTAATCATACAATCTTTAATTAGTTCCCAATGGCGGTTGTTAAAAAGAGCACCAGAGAGGGGACCTAGGCCTCTCAGGTGTGATGGGACGGGGAGAGGGCACGGGCCCCCTACCACATCTGAGAGGCCCAGGCCCTCTCTCTGCCCCAGCAGGGAGAACAGTTATGAGAACAACGACATTCGCTAGCCTTTTCACCAGATTTGAAGTCCGTTCCTCCAGGGCACCAAGGAGCTTCACCTCTGACTCTACAATTATATTACAAAGGGAAGCTAGTTTGGTCCGGTAGTTAGGGCACCAGGCTAGAAACCAGCAGAATGCGAATTCTAGTCCTGCTTTAGCCATGAAAGCTGGCTGGATGACTTTGGTCCAGCCATTCTGTCTCAACCCATGATGTCAGGGTCAGGTGGCAAACTGATAAATTCGGTAAATTCTTACCACAGCCAAATGGATCAACACTCGGTTGAACTGAAAAAAGCAGATCCTGCACTTGTAAAAAAACACTAAGACTCTTTTTTTTTTTTTTAATCTACAAACCTGTGTTTGGTTTCAGTTCTTATAACTGCTGCATTTTGTTCCAAAACCTGGCAGTTGTTCAATAAATATACAGAAAATTATCTTATTCGAAGGCTTTCCCACAGATTTTAGCATGAAATGAAATAAAAATATTAAACCATTTTAATCCTTCGAGAAGAGTTTTTCTCTGATTTACTTTAATATCTGTATAACTACTGCAACATATTTTTATGTAGAAGCTCAAAGTATGGACAAGTCTGAAAAAGACAGGAAATCCTCTTTTAGCTACCCCAATTGGGACAGGCAATTCAGTTGTTAAGTAAAGTGGTCACTAAGTGAACTTGCAACTGTGCTTATGATCTTACTGCAGCTTTCCTTTGCTTTACAGACCTGCAAAGGTTGTAAATATGAGGGTCGGTTGCAAAGTTACTTTTTCATCACTGTCATAACTGTGAACAGTCATTGTCCAATGACATTGCTAAACAGTGACTACCTATATAGGATATTTATAATTCAAGTAAAATGCCCTTGTTATAGTTCTCAAAACTACAATTCGATCAATTGATGACTACGTCAATTGATGACTACTTATTTAATCTGTGTCCTGAGTTATATTTCCAAAGGCCGAAGGTGTGATAAGGTATGGAATTAATACATTTTACTATAACGTGACTATAACTAGTCGATATTTTGTTAAGAGAGCTAACAGTTCCTGATTCAACTCTTCAGGTATTCCTGGTATTTCCAAATTTGCAGAGCTGAAAGACAAAGCCCGTTGTGTTTTTATGTTAAATAAGAAGCTACAGATGGAACAGATTCTTGGATTAGATGTCAATCTAAGAAAAAGCAGTAGAACGTCCTCCTTGCAAGTTGAACAGTGGGATACCAAAATTAAGAGTAGAAATAATAAACTTTTTAACAGATATCCTGTTTCCAAGGATCATGAAGGCAAAGAAGATTCTCAGGAAGAGCAGATGGCTGAGATAAAGCCAAATGCAACATTGGCTGAAACCTGTTCAAACCCACCACCATGCAGTACAGTTTGCATCAGTGCCATTTTGGCTGATAATGTAGAGACATTAAGGAAAGAATCTGGTACCAAAAGAATCTCGAATGGTTATCTTCCAAGTACACCCAAAGACAGGGCAGAGAATCCTGGACAAGAGGAGCAGTCACATAGATACAAGCTTGATGATTCAGCTCACACAGAACCAAGCACTAAAAGACGACACAGGTGTAAAGAGTGTGGGAAAGCCTTCCTTCAGCTTTGCCACCTGAAAAAACATCATTTTGTGCACACTGATCACAAACCATTCTTGTGCACAGAATGTGGCAAAAGCTATAGTTCAGAAGAGAGTTTCAGAGCACATATGCTGGGCCACAGCGGGGTACGTCCTTTTCCCTGCCCACAATGTCACAAAACATACGGCACCAAGCGTGATCTTCAAGAACATCAGGTACTGCATACAGGCCAGCGTCCCTATATCTGTCCAGATTGTGGAAAATCATTTGCCCGGCGGCCTTCCCTTCGTATCCATCACAAGACACATCAAGTTAAACAGCGAAGCTCTATCTCTTCTGCCTACCAGTGTGTGTTATGTGGACAGCACCTGGCCAATTCAGGATCACTGCGGAACCACATGCGCCTGCACACAGGGGAACGTCCTTATACTTGCCCCTACTGTTCCAAGTCATTCCGTCAGCAAGGCAATCTACGGGGGCATCTTAGGTTACATACAGGGGAGCGTCCTTACCGTTGCCATTTCTGTGTAGACGCCTTCCCACAGCATCCTGAGCTGCACCGTCATCTGATTTCTCACACAGGTGAGGCTCATCTGTGCACAGTATGTGGGAAAGCACTGCGTGATCCCCACACGTTAAGAGCTCATGAACGCTTGCATACAGGTGAGCGGCCTTTCTGCTGCCACCTTTGTCCCAAATCCTATCCTCTAGCTACAAAACTCCGACGTCATCAGAAAGCCTGTCATGGTGACGAGCCCCATCAGTTTAACATTTGTGGTGTAGGCTACAGCCTCCCTCAGAAACTTCAGTGCCACAAGCTTGAGTACAAAGACAATATAGTCAAGGATTTGTCCAAATCTGACATTAAAGATCACAAGGATATTTCAGTTTCAGAGCAGCCTGCTGCATTGGTAGTGCACACGTTGAGTATAGCAGAGCCTGGCAGGAAAGCAGAAGTCCTCATCTCTAACACTGAGTACAGTGCAGCACAAGAGAGCTCTGCCCAGCACAAAGATGTCATTGAAATTGCGGTCTCAAACACTGAGGAAGAATGTATCATTGTGCAGGAGCAGGCTTCGCCCAGTAACATGTTTATTCTTCAAGAGGGTGTTGGTTTTAGTACTGTGGCAGAAGTCATTGAGGCAGAATTGGGAAGCTGAGCTTTGCATTTATTTTAGATTATCTGGAATTTATGTATTTATTTTATTTATTTAGAGAATTGATATGACCTCCTGTTCACTTTCAGTGACTCTAGGTGGCTTACAGAAAATAAAAACCCAATGTACAAAGAGTAAAAACAATAATTCCCTTCCCCCCCCCCCGCTTTTTCTATATTGGGGGAAAGGGCAATATGATGTCTTAAAAGCACAGAATACCAGAAAAGTGCAGGTAGAGGTAGTCCTCGATTTACAATTGTAATGAAGTCGTAAGTTGAAGACTATCTACATTTGACTTCAAATTTCACTCAATTCTCGGTATCAGTGCCTATGATTGAATTGGATGCTAGGCTCAGTGAATAGATCAGAAGTTATTTATTAAAAATGTTCACTAACTAACCTTTTTTGCACAGTCAATATTGGTTTAAACTGAGCGAGGACTATTTATCTATTTGCAGTTCTTTAAAAAAAAGTACAGTGGTAATGCATACAAGCACGGATCAGGTGGTTCAGTTAAATAGTTTGAATAACTCAATTAGTTATATCCCTCCACATGGAATGTTTAATGTGGCTGTGAGAGCACTCTGTCCATTAACTAGCGGAATCATATGATTGATGAGTGCACACAACTTCTGCAAGGTCATACATGATGTTGGACAGGCTAAATAAAATCATATTTCAGTCTTGCTGAGAATTATATGCCCTGGTAGTTGTGACATAGACAAAATATTTCTTTTTGAGATCAAGTAAATATTGAAATTAATAAAACAGTCTTTCCCAAGTCTCATCGTGCAATGTGGTGAAACTTTTAATTTCTTTAACTATTGCTATTTCATATACTCTGAACTTTCTTGGTTCACCTGCATAAGAAGAATTTAGCTTTTTTCTTTGCTTAATAAATCCAAGTAGGCTATAGAGGGTAGCCTTACAGCCTATAAACTACAAAATAGAGGCTTTATTTTAAAAATAAGATAAACACATTTGTTTGGGCCCAGAAAGGAAAATACAAAAAATTATCTCTTTCCGCTTGGGTTTTACAGCATATTTATGAGACAGAGATCAGTTAGAAAAACAAAGTTGTATTCAATAACATAGAAACTATGTTATGCACATATTGCTATATTGGTCTATTTTAGACTGTAAATTAGAGAATTAAGTATTTAAATTAAATAAACTTGGTATTAATAGAAGGGAAGTCTATACTATATTCATGTTATAGCATACAAAGGATAAAATTAAAAATGAGTTGATTTAGTTGCCAGATTTGTTTCTTCTTGTACTTTTTAAAATGATCCTTGTTTATAAGAATTAGGTTTTGCTCATTACTCATGTTAATTCATATTAAGAAGCTACAGTCTGTGGTTCCTAAAAATGTATTTAAAGGTAAATGTTTTCCTACAAGATTTGATAGGGATAATATTTGTAGTTATTCTTTTCTGCAAGGCAGCATTTTGGCCTCTTTATTATTGCCTGAAATGGTACAGTTGAACAATAGATATGTCACAATGAAGCTGTTGTGTGATTGTTTAGTAAACACTATTTGGAAATGCATGTGTGTACAAAACATATATTTCTTATAATTCTTCAAATCCACAATTCTACCTACTTTTAATAAAGTATAGATAAGCAAGTTCAGTGTTGCCTATTTTATGAAGAAAAATAGAGGCTAACAGATTGTGCTACTTGTACAGAGCAAATACTTTGACACATTATTTTATTTGAAGCTGAACCCTCAATTTCTAACAATGGTTTCTTCATGAAAAGCTAGTTGAATATATAGTAATAGTACTAGTAGTAAAGTTGGAAGGGACCTTGGAGGTCATCTAGTCCAACCCCCTGCTCAGGCAGGAAACCCTACACCATTTCGGACAAATGGCTGTCCAGTTTCTTCTTAAAAACTTCCAGTGTTGGAGCATTTACTGCTTCTGGAGGCAGGCTGTTCCACTGATTAATTGTTCTCACTGTCAGGAAGTTTCTCCTTAGTTCTAGGTTGCTTCTCTCCTTGATTAGTTTCCACCCAGTTGCTTCTTGTCCTGCCTTCAGGTGCTTTGGAAAATAGCTTAATTCCCTCTTCTTTATGGCAGCCCCTGAGATATTGGAATACTGCTATCATGTCCCCCCTTGTCCTTCTCTTCGTTAAACTAGACATACCCAATTCTCGCAACCGTTCCTTATATGTTTTAGCCTCCAGTCCCCTAATCATCTTTGTTGCTCTTCTCTGTACTCTTTCTAGAGTCTCAACATCTTTTTTACATCGTGGTGACCAAAACTGGATGCAGTATTCCAAGTGTGGCCTTACCAAGGCATTGAAGAGTGGTATTAATACTTCACGTGATCTTGATTCTATACCTCTGTTAATGCAGCCTAGCACTGTGTTGGCCTTTTTGGCAGCTGCAGCACACTGCTGGCTCATATTTAGGTGATTGTTTACTAGGACTCCGAGGTCCCTCTCACAGTTACTACTATTGAGCATGGTGCCATCTATGCTGTATTTGTGCATTTGGTTTTTCTTGCCTAAATGTAGAACCTTGCTTTTTTCACCATTGAATTTCATTTTGTTAGTTAATGCCCAGTGTTCAAGTCTGTCCAGATCCTTCTGTATCTTAAGCCTGTCTTCTGGTGTGTTGGCTATTCCTGCCAGCTTGGTGTCGTCTGCAAATTTGATGAGTTCCCCATCTATCCCTTCATCCAAATCGTTGATGAAGATGTTGAAGAGTACTGGGCCCAGACCAGAGCCCTGGAGCACCTGTTTTTGTTTGTTAATGGGTATACTGTATGTGGAATATTGTACAAATTTTTAATTTGGTGAGCTGTTTCCTAGTTAGTAGTGCTATCACCGCATTGCAGTTTACAACAATGTTGCAGCATTACAGTACTGTGACATTTTGTCATATATTTATCATATGATTCTTTTCCTTTAAAAAAAATGAAAACAAGTATGCTGTGAAGCAAAGAAATTTCAGTTGGAATCTTTATTTCCAATAATGCTTCAAGGACCCTTATATGTCCTGCAGACATTCTTGGAAAGTAAAATATATGATATGGGTTGTATTCTAGTTCTTTCTTTAGGAGCGTGTGTATCTGACCAGAAAAAAACAAAATAAAATCTAACGAGGTTAAAGCACTCTGGGAAATTAGAACAGTAGTAGAGGACAATATTACCAGCTTACTTTCTAGTAAGCAGATGCTTTGTTACTAAACACTTTCAAAATGTCCTCCACATACGTGGAGACTTATTTTTAAAAAAAATTGTCTCTGAAAATTACTGACTTCCCACTGGTGTAAGCATTCTGTGATAAAATTTACATGCGGTCTCTACTATAAGCAGTTGTGGATCTCTGAGGCAATAAGTTTTAGAACTCCAGTGTAGAATAGCTAGTCTGTATTTTTCGCTGTTCCAGGACCTGGTCTAACATTTGCATGCGACAAATATTGACACAGCTGTGACTTCAGTGAAACTAGAACTTAGGGACTCCTTGCATGAGTCAAAACAGCTGTCTTCTTCCTTTGCATTGGTATCCAACTTGCTCTTTGAGCTCAGTAACTGAAGTTCCATTGAGGCATCTCACTCCTATGCTGATCTGAAGTACTAAGTGGTGCTTGCTCACAGATAAGGAAGGCATTCTGATCATTGCTTTTTAATTGATAAATGTTATTGGTCAGTTTTACACATGAAGGTCTGCAAGGATTCACTACAGACTTTCCCATTTTTACAGAGAATGCTGGTTCTCTGTTTTAGGTGATAATAATTGTATAACTTGTATGACCCATTGCTGACAATTCAAAACCAGCTTCTAGTAAAAAAAAAAATCTAAGGGCCTTTAGACCTTTGGTTAAGTATCTTGCCGAGCTACAGATGTCAGTTAAACCAACTAGTTAGTAATTTACTGAGCCCTCCTTTCCCCTTTTGAATAATATAATTCTGTTTTTCTTTCTCTAATCTTTCAAACTTCTTCCTGTTGTCCACAAGTCTTTAAGTATTATAGTAAATTCTAGATTACTTTAATTCATTTGACCTTGAACTCTTAAATTCATTTAAGGTTGCAAGTAGATTCTTGCTCTATCTTTCTCAGTCCTGAATTTTATCTCCCTTCCCCATTTCTTCAATCAATTGAGACAAAGTTTTAAAATAATCCCATCCTCTCCCTATATCCTTTTATTACTTTCCCATACAAAAAATGAATAGCTGTCTTGATTCTTTTTTTTTATTTCTGATGTACTCAACTTACCCCCCTCACTAACCTCATCTTATTTGAGTTTTAAATCCCAGCTCAATCCTAAACCTTGGGCTATCACTTGTATTCCTCATTAACCCCTGCTTTCTTTTCCTTTACATCTTTCTAAGCCTGACAGTAAAGCTACTGTTCATCTAGCCAGACTTATTTTTCAGTTTTTCTTATGGGGATTGTTGATACCTGTTTATCT